TAAGTTGGTCTAATAAAAGATATCAGATTCACACAAAGAACCTTGTCTGCCTATGTCCTTAGACCAACACACCTACAACCTATGCCCCTGGGGGGTTCAGGCACCTCCCTTTTGCTAGAATCATAGGAAAGTAGGGCTGGAAAGGACCCCAGAAGGGCATCTAGTCCAGCCCCCTGCTCAAGAAGTGGTCAGCCCTGTCTTAGCTATCCTAGACAAGTGTCTGTTTAACCTGCTCTTAACAACATCAGGAGCCACCCTCAGGCACAACTACCAGGCACAGGGCCCAAAACATCAAGAATGTCCTAACTTGCCACAAATAAAGCAGCAGAATGAAGGCACTGTCAGTGTCCTGCCACTGCAAAGACAGGATGTAGTTTATTAAAATAGGCTCAAGATACCAAAGGAATTGGACTGTGCCCTGCTGCTGCAGAGCAAGGCATAGCCCCCACAGTTTGTGCCAATCTGACTGTGGAGTCAAATTTCTTCTTGATCCCATATGTGGTAATCAGTCTGACCCAGAGCCTCAGACACTTTCTAAGTCCAGCAGTATCATTGGTACATCCTAGTCAAACTCCCCAGCCTGTGTTGAAACCAACCCCAGTGCCTCTAAGAAAGGTGAAAAACCCCTAACGTCTGTAGCAAAAGGAAGGGAAAAAAATTCCTTCCTAGCCCCATGTGGCAACCAGCAAAACCAAGAAGCATGGGAAAACCAGACACCTTCCACTCTGCACTGCAACCTGGGAACTTCAAATATTACTCCATGCATATTACACCCTGACTAGAGAACCAGAACTTCCTTTCCTATTGTCCTGTGTCCTCCATAAACTTAGCTCCTGAAATTTTTTCCCATAACCAAGCCTCTGGGGCTTTGGGGCCAGACCCTGTCATAGCTCCTGGAAGTCTACATGTGTCCTGCCTGGGAAGTGGGCCTCCCAAGCAGTAGCACAGGGCTGCGTGTCCTCTCTCAAGGTACCTGATTAAGTCTGCCCAGCCCACACCCATACTTTTCCTAGATAAGAAGGGGGAGGAGTCACAGCTGTCCAATACACAAGGGCAGGGCTCACTCCTATCTTTCGCACAGGGCCATGGCCCAACCAGAGCAGAGCACTGGGATGCAAGGTGGGATGGCTCCTCCACCGGGCTATTGCTGCTGGGCCCCTTTACCTTGTAGGCTTTGATGAAGCGCATAAACATCGGGAAGAACATGGTGGGGGGGGTAGTCTTGGGATTTTCACCAAAGTACTCCACAACTGACTCATAGGCCTCCTGCAGGCAAAGACAGAGAGACCCCATTAGTGCAGATGCCCTGCACCCACAGAGGCTGGAGATGCCTAAAGGTGCACAAAAGCACAGTTACTGCTTCACCAAGTCAGAGACCCCCCTAGACTGCCTTTCTGTGAGCATTGCTCAGAGGCAGCATTGTCCAGCTGGGGCTGACAGGCCTTGTGGGAGGAGTCACCTCCTGCTGTGGTTGGTGGTTCAAAGATGGGGCTCCAAGCATACTGCACTGCTGCCTTAATGCATGGCCTTTCCCCTCTCACTGTGATGCTGCCCCAAGCCCAGCCACCCACAGTCCTGCACCAGCCCCCTCTTCAGACCACGCCCCTGTGTCCAGTAGCGACCAGCTCCAGGGCTGGAAGTGTGTGTAGGCAGGGCACACTACCCAGACCCAAGCTCCCTCAGTTCAGGTAAGCTCCAGAATGCACTGCCCCAGGTATGGGGCAGATGCACTCACCTTGGCTGTCTTCCCATCAGTCTGCAGTTTCTCCATCACCTCGGTGTTGGCCTTGAGGAAGTCCTTGAGCACCTGGCTGTCATCCTGCCGCATAAACTCCTTGCGGGTTAGTTCCATGCCCTGCTGCAGGCTCCGCACATCCTGCAACATGCTGTCCAGGGACACTTGGGTGGGGAGAGGGAGAGAGAAAACAATTGAGAGCTGCAGTGACTGCCTGCCTGCAGCAAGCTTTAGAAAGAACCAGCTGCCTGACTCAGAGGCTGTGGCCTTCTTGGAGCTTAGGGGCCTGGGGGTTGCCCTGAGCCCTAGCCATGTGCCAGTACCTGTGCCTGCCTTGTCCAGAAAATGCAGCTCAGTGTAGAAGCCTGTCAGCTCTGGGTACTTGTCGCTGATCACCCGCACCATATAGTGCAGCAGTGTCTGCCTCCGGTCCGTGGACTTCATCTCCAGCAGCTGAAGACAGCAATCAGGTTGAGGGCTGAGCCCAAACATTCCCCACTACCAGCACTCATGTCCAGTTGTGTCTGCCTCCCGCCCAGTGCCTATCTCCCATGCTTGGTGGTCTCTATCTTCTCCCCATCACACTCACTACCGTGCCCAGCCAGTGCAGCCCAGCCCAGCCCAGGCACCCTCTTCTCCACATCTGCCACTTCCTGCTCCATAGCACAACTTCCCTTGCAGTCCACGCTTGCCCCCTCGTGGCAGGCTTTCCTGGGCCCTCTAACAATGGGCCCCCATCTGCCTTGTCTGTCACTTGACCTGGTGTGGCCAACAGAGCTGCCCTCTCCCCCCACCACAACAGGGGGCCTTTGCTGGACACTATGTCTTTCTGGGACCAGGTGCAGACCCCTGAGCCCTGAGGGAAATGCCAAGGCATCTGCTTCCCATGGCCTCCCCCCCAGAGCACTGAGCTTCTCCCCAACACCTACCGCATCAAGGCTTTGCAGCCGGAACCCATAGGCAGCGCCACGTTTGCTGCTGTTCAGGTAGTTCCCGAAGGCCAGGACAATCTGCAGAGAGATGGCTGTAGCAGTCATTTGCCTTTGCTAAGCCACAGAGGCATCAGGCAGCCCTGTGCTGAACTATGGCTTCCCTGTGCAGCAGGAGGCATGGGGCACCCACTAGTCAGCCAAAGGGGATGTTTACCAACCCCTTCTACTTCAGAGCAGAAGACTTGGCCCAAGCATGGGGCAGACACACATCAAGCTTCACATCAGGCCCCCAGCCCCACAGCTCAGGCACCAACTAGCCAGGGCAGGGCTGGCTTGGGCCCTCTCCTCTGAAGTGAACACTGTCCCCTAGCAGCCCAGCCAGGGCCCCCAGTCCTTGTCTCAGCCACTTCCCCGGAGAAAGATCCCCCTCTTTCCTACCCTCGGCCCAGCTAAAACCCCAGATCCACCCTGCCCCCAACCTAGTGAGGACCCAGAGAACCCCCTGAGGTTCCTAAGGGACATTAGCAAATAGATATTCCATGAGTCTCCTTTCTCTCCCCAGCCCAAGACAGGGCACCAGACTCTTTCCCCCTGTTCAGGGCCTGGCCCCATCAGATTAGATGCCTCAAAGCCCCTCACCTCAAGGATGTTACGCAGCTTCGTGGAGGACTTGACGGACATGGACCCAGCAATGATGGAGTGGAGTTGCTGCAGTTAGGGTGAGAGGGACCATGAGGACATTGTGCTGCTGGGCAGCTGCCTGCAAAGCAGAAGCTGAGGGCAAAGCGCCTGCAGGGACTCCATGTTCCTCCCTACAAACTGCCCCAAACACCCAGCCTGGGCTCAGGCCCTGGCTAGCACGAGGGCTTTTTCCACAGCCCTGCTTCCAGCCATAGGCCCTGATTCACAATCCCAAGTGACAGGCTCCCCACTGACAGCTCTGCTGAAGCTTCCTCTTCCCAGCCTGCAGCTCCTAGATACCTCAGCCCTGGGCCTCTCCTTGCAGCTCTGCTTCTGCCCCTCTGTCCTGACCCAGAGTCCCCTCTGCTTCTCCAGTCCTGTGCCTCCCACTCCCCCCCCACACACAGAGCAGTGTTGAGGTGCCTCAGCCACCTCTGGCTGCCGTCCTGGCTGTACTGGCCCTGGCTGCACTTGTCACACAGCTGCTGTCTGCCCACAGTGTTTCTACACTACCTGGCAGTTTTGTGGCACCCACTTGCTTCCAACAAGCTTGCTGGAGCCTGCATGTGGGTGACTGACATGACCATAGGAAGCTTTGAAGTCAGGTCCCCAGACAGAAAGCGCCAGGGATTCACCTCCACTTGCCTACCCTCACCTTCCTCCAGAGGCCTCTGCAGTTCCTCAGCATCCCCAAGTCCCCTCTGCTCTCCATTCCTGGCCGACTCCACTGAGAATTGGGCATTACCCTCTGCCCCAGAGCAACGCTGTCAGTGCCCCCAGCCCCAGACTCATTGACTGTGTCTGGAGCCTGCCTGCCCGGCTCATACCGGCATCAGGCGCTGTGCTGTGTCGTTGAAGTTGCCCAGGAAGGTCATGATGTTCATGCGCTCAGCCAGGCGTGGGAGTTTGCTGAACTTGATCATGAACTGGTCCTCATCCGATAGCTCATCCAGTGGCCGCTGCTCCTTCTCATACTTGCGTATCTGCAGCAGTTCATACTCCGTGGGCAGGAAGCGCTCCAGCAGTTCCAGGAAGTCTAGGCTCAGTGTCTGCAGGTCATACCTGCACCAGGAGGGAGAAAAGGTTAGCGCAGATCCTCAAGGACCCCTGCAACCATGTCCTGCTTGGGTGTGTTGGAACCACTATCCACCTCCTCCAGATGGAGGGGGCAGGGCAGAGCCAAAGCCGGAAGTCTTGACTGTAGCTGCTTGTCCCCTCATCCCCCTTCCCTATTCCTCCATCTCTTGCTTCTCTGTGGCATCCCAAATACCCTTACCCCCACCTCTAAGCCCCTTCCCCATGCTATATGATTTCAGTACTTCAGCAGGCCCCTCACTTTAGAAGAGAAGGGGCTGCCAACAGAAAATGAAAATGCCCTGGCCCCAGCCATCATAGAAACTTAGGGTCGGAAGGGACCTCATGAGATCATCTAGTCCAGAGGTTCCCAACCCCCAGGCCACGGCCCGGTACTGGG